CCTTTAACCACTGAGACACTAGCCATGGATCTTCTCGTGGTACAATCCAAAAGTTTACTTCTATTTCTTCTTTTTTAAAATTTTTATTTATTTATTTATTTATTTATTTATTTATTTATTTATTTATTTATTTATGTTTACATATTTTATTGATTTTTTTTGCCCCCCTTCCTCCCTCCCACACATCCTCTTCCTCCCCAGAGTTTTATGTCCATTGGTTGTACTTATATGCATGTATACAAGTCCTTCGGTTGATCTATTATCTCCCCCAGATCTTCCTCCCCTCCCCACTGTAATTTGACAGTCTGCCTGTTGCTTTACTTTCTCTATATCTGTATCTTGGTTCATCAGTTTATAATGATCTTTATCATCCACCAATTCTTTAATAAACTTTGGTGGTTCTATCTTTCAAGGAATTCATCCAATTGATCTAAATTGATGAAGGTATTGGCATAAGAGGCTTATATTTCTATATTATTTTTTTATTATCTTTTAATATCTGTAGACTCTCTTGTGATATCATCTCTCCTATTTCTATACTGGTAATTTGAATGCTTTTCTTATCTCTCCAAAGCAGTGGTTCTGAGCCTTTTTAATGCAGTGACCCTTTAATACAGTTCCTCATGATGTGGTGACCCCCAACCATAAAATTATTTTTGTTGCTACTTCATAACTGTAATTTTGCTACTGTTAATGAATGGTAATGTAAATATCTTAATCCCAGCCCTGGTTGGGGCCCATGTGGGAGGCAACCAATTTTCATGTATGGGTGGATGCTCCAACCTATTAGGCCATTCCAGCCTGGACCCAAGATCAAATTATTGATCTTCCATCCTGTCCGAACCTACTTTATATTAATGAATGGCATCTATTGATACCTCTCTGCCTTTTCCTTACTGGTGCTGAGTCACACTGGCCTTATCTTTGTTTTTCAAATGGACCATGCTGTCTTTCTCAAAAGGACATGCTCTCTCTCTGTGTGTCTGGAACATTCCTCTTGCTGCCATCCCCTACACTTGGACTCATCTTTCTGATCTCTACCAAGCATTACCCCACAGGAAGTTTTTCCTGGCACTTCTGTGTACATTAGGTTCATCGAATACTTGCTCTCATAGAACCATGATCTCCCTTTGTTTCATGTTATTGCATGTTCATCCATCAGTTTCTGACTCCTTCTCTAGATTATAACTTCATAAAGTCTGGAGCCATATCTGTTTTTTATCTCCATTTTATTCCATTGCCTATATTTTTGAAATTAATAAAATATATGAATCAATATAAAAAGAGAGAATTGCTTTCCTGAACTGAGTTTTTTGCCTTTACTTTTTATTCATAGTGTTTTCACATACTGACTTTTTATTTTTATAAAATCTAATGTATCCATCTTTCCTACTTTAAGGCCATTTTTAGAATTGCCTTTCCCACCCCAAGATTACATAAATATCCACAGAAATCTTCTTCCAGTACTTTTATGGTTTTGTTTGTAGGATTTAATTCTTAAATCCATCTGGACTTTATTTCTGAAAGAAATGAAATAGTGCCAGCTATTTTGTTTCAGAGCCAATTTCTCCTAAATTGAAAACTTCAGCTATAACTGGAAGTGTGATGTCATAAAATAAGATTTGGTATCAGATGCCCTGCATTAAAGTTCAGCTTCACCAGTAGGTCATTGCGCAAATGTTAGCCAGTTATTTATTCTCTTTCAGAGTTATCAGAAACCTTTAGAAGACAAGAACTCAAGGGAAGAGTCAGTTCATGGATCCTCATAAAAAGGGCTATTGAAGAGGCTGGATAGATAGCCTAATTATTGACTGTGAGCTTGAATCAGACTATCTAAATGTCCCTCATTTTATTTTTTTATTTTATTATTATTTTTTAAAATATATTTTATTGACTTTTTACAGAGAGGAAGAGAGAAGGATAGAGAGTTAGAAACATTGGTGAGCGAGGATCATCCATCAGCTGCCTCCTGCACACCCCCCCATCGGGGATGTGCCTGCAACAAGGCACAAGCCCCTGACCAGAATCGAACCCGGGACCCTTCAGTCCGCAGGCCGACGCACTATCCATGGAGCCAAACCAGTTTCGGCAAAATACCCCTCATTTTATCAACTGCAAAATGAGATAAAAATAGTAACCTTCCTTGTATAGTTTATTATGAGAGTCAAATAAATTAGTGAATGTAAAGCACTTAATCATGGTGGTGATAAGTTATAAGCAATGGTTACCATAGAAAGGGATGTCATCATTTCAGTGAGGATAATAGAGAAGATGCCTCACTCACACTTTCCTTTTAAAAAAAATATATTTTATTGATTTTTTACAGAGAGGAAGGGAGAAGGATAGAGAGCTAGAAACATCGATCAGCTGCCTCCTGCACACTCCCCACTGGGGATGTGCCCGCAACCAAGGTACATATCTTTGACCGGAATCAAATCTGGGACGTTTCAGTCTGCAGGCCAATGCTCTATCCACTGAGCAAAATTCAGCCTCTCATATTTTCTTGAAGAACTAGGAAGATATCTTGTCAGAGTATACTCCAAAATGAACTTGTAGGGACAGTAAAGAAAAGGAAGTAGAAACACTGCCAAGTACTTTGCTGGCCATATGACCAAAATCACTCTCTCAGTTCTAATTTTTTGTTACTGTTGTTCTTGCAAATCTGTTCATAGACTGTTCTTATCATGGGCAGAGTAACCTCTAATGTTTTCCAGTGTTAAGGGAGTAAGCTTATTAAGTTTAGTAAATTACTACCTCAAACTTCATAAAAACCAATATCTTTGATATGGACAGATTTTAATAATATCCAGGGATATGAATGTCTTTAGGAAAGAACTGATAAATGTGTCATATAGGATGAGTAAGCAAGTGGGATGGAGGAGAAGACTCATTTCATGTGCCAAATCACAATGAATCTTTCCATTAATATTTTGAGCCCCTACACGCAGGAGGAACTGGGGAGGGACAGAATAATAAACAGTAAACCACCATTTTCACCTCTCCATTCTTTTATGAATGTTTCCCTAAGCTGCAGACCCTGATGTCTCCATCAGGACAGGCATGGCCAGGCCATGATATCGTGTCCAGAAATTGATTTCAATGATGAATGAATTGTGTATCTCTTTCATTGAGTTCAAATTAAGGGATTTATTACTTGCACTGCATTTAACATACTAATTTATTTAGAATTACTTTTCATTTTACAGTGTGTCACATAACTAGATAGTGTCAGTCACCCCACTAAGGATAAAATATATGCTTTATTGGTTTTGTTATGGGTTAATTTTGTTTTGTTTGTTTTTTTATTTCTTGTTGGGGAAAAAAAAGTGTTTTTATTTCCTGACATGTTCACTTTTACATCTCCTACTGACAAATTCCCACAGAGAATTCAGATGCTCATTTGACATTAGTAATTGTAAACACAGTTCAGTAATTTTAAGTTTATTGCACCTCAAGAAGTTTATAAGCAGAATTCCCATAGCCATTTTCCTATAACTGTGTATTTAATTAGAGAAGCAGCAGTTACTGAAAACTTGAAGGTAAATGGAATTTTTCCCCACCCATACCTCCTGCTGGGGGAAACTTTACCCCCTGCTCTCCTCTCTCCTCCACCACCAGTCAGATAAGTGGGGTTGTAGGTGGAACTGGGGGGCGGGGGGGACAGATGTGAGTCGGCTGTATTCTCTACTGCCATGTTATAAAAGCAATCTAGGCTCCCTTTCGCTGGCTGTCTTGTGTTCAGTGATTAGCCCTTCACATCCATCTATCACTGCTCTGCCAGCCCCATGCAGGTCTCTGATCCTTTTCTTCCAGCCCCTGGGTGGATGCATTGAGTCAGCCCTCTGTTCTCCAAGGGGGACCAGTTACACAGTCAGAGGCAGGGGTAAAATGCCTCAGGTTCCAGTCGCATTCTCCAGCCCAGCGTTGGCAATGGAAATCTGGTGGCTTGCCCATTCCACCTCCCCAGTTGCCATCTTAAAAAGCAGTGATACCCATGTGAGCACTTTACTTCTTCTCTACATATTGGAATTCAGAGACAGAAAGTCATGATTGAGTGGGACTCGTGCTCCCAGGGCATATGGGTTTGCCATATGAGCTGCAATGTCAATCTCACATTTAAAAACAACAACCACTACTCTAATCCAATCAATTTCAGTTATGGAAGTTAATTATATGAAACAGCAGAAAGACAAATATTATTCTATCTTAATTTTACTTAAAACTGACATAGGAATTTGATCCTGTGCAAGGAATGTTTACCCAAAAGAAAAGGAATGAGAGCAAAATCACTAATGTATTTTCATTGGGGGGGAGGAGGGGGAGGAAGTCAACAAAACATTCATTTTTCTTTTATAATTATTCTCTTTTGAGTTTTCTTTCTCAGTTTTCTGAAAATAAAGTGCACACATAGATATTACTGCCTTTTAATTGTAGATTTAAAAAGAAAAACCAAAACCACGAGTTGCTTCTCTTTGGAAAACAGCGCCAGGCCATGCTCTACTCCACTTCAGAACTTCCTATGACTCTGCTGATGACAACCCACTGCTCACCAATCAGTGTCTGGCCCAATGTCACATCCTATAAGTTGCTATGTGTTGTTACAAGTATACTCAACAAACCTAAGTCTCCACTGGCAAGTTTATTATTTTTATTATTTAAGAACACTATTCACTTCATTGGGGGCAAGAATATTTACATTGTGCCAGTTCTATTAATTTCCTAGGGCTGTCGTAACAAATTTCCACAAACTTAGTGGCTTAAAGCAAATAAAGTTTATTATCTCACAGTTCTGGAGGTCAGAGTCCCAAATCAGCGTGACCACAGAGTCATGCCCCCTCCAAAGGCTCCAGGGAAGAGTCCTTCCGTGTCTCTTCCAACTTCTGCCGGCTCCAATAGCTTCTTGGCTCATGCCCCCAGACCTCCGATCTTTGCCTCTGTCTTCTCTGTGTGTTCTTCCTTTTTCTGGTTTTATAAAGTCAGTTGTCATTGGATTTAGGGACCAGCTTTCTCTAGGATGATCTCATCTTGAGATCCTTAATTACATCTGCAAAAGCTTATTTCCAAATAAGGTCACATTTACAGGTTCTGAGCGACTCTCTCCTTTGATCGTTCTTCATTACTCTCTGGACACTACCCATGTTTAAGTCTCAAACCCCCTTCTGTTGTCAATTTTATTGACCATCTCTGCATCTTTAGTTTTCTTAACTTTAATTTGAACAATTTCCCTGTCTTTTGCGGATTTCTGCATTCATGAAGGGTTTCATTTTTTTTAAATCAATAACTTTCAATGATTTTTGTCACATCCAATTTATACATTTATGCAGAGATAAAAATCCTACAGCAAATTTATCTACCTCAGTTTTCCATTTGAGGAAACTGGTAAAAAAAATCTTGAAGCACTGCTAGATTATACATATATCTCTTTTAGCAAAAGCATTTGAATATTCCTCTATAGTGTAAAATCTACATACCATACAAAATGGATTCTAAAATTTACCAGAGTGATAAGTAATTATATTAAAGGTAGGTAGAATCTTTGTTTTCTGTAGAGGTAATTGAAGCTTGACTATTTGTGCAAATAAGTTGTTAAATTATTTCTTTGGAACAAGAGGATCTAAATATATCTCAAATATTTGTATAGCCTTTTATAGTTTTCAAGGACATTTCATATTTATTATTTTGTTTGATCCTTACAGTAGTTCTATAAGGGTAAAATAATCCTATATAATGAAAGGCTAATATGCAAATTGACTGAACAGCAAAATGACCAGTTGCTATGATGAACACTGACCATCAGGGGGCAGACACTCAATGCAGGAGCTGCCCCCTGGTGGTCAGGGCTCAGGGGAAGTGCTGCTCAGCCAGAAGCCAGGCAGTGCTCAGGATGTTCTACCGATGGGGAGCAAGCCTAAGCTGTCAGTCAGACATCCTCTGAGGGGTTCCTGGACTTCAAGAGGCTGCAGGCTAGGCTAGGAACATGCCCCCTCCACCCACCCCCTACCCCCAGTGCATGAAATTCATGCACTGGGCTTCTAGTAATAGTAGTAATAAACACTGGTATTTATCTAATTAAATGAAGCTCCTGAACCACCTAACCACCTCCAGCTAGTACTCAACTTAAACCCATAGCCATTACCACATTCGTCTACTGATGGTACTTGGGCTGTTTCCAGATCTTAGCAACCTTGCGTGCATAGTAGAATCACCTGAGGAGTTTAAAAAAATATTGATACCTAAGCTGCATCATCAACAACAACAAAAATGGAGGAACAAGATTGGTCACTTTAGATATATACACTGAGTGGCCAGATTGTTATGATCTCTGAACACATAATAATCTGGCCACTCAGTGTATATCCTATATAATAAAAGGCTAATATGCAAATTGTCCCCTCAACCAGGAGTTCAACCAACAGGCATATTCCCTCCACCTGGGAAGGCTGGCTGGCCCCCATAGTGAGAGGGATAGATAGTTAGAAACATCAATTAAATAAGAAATTCTGGGGGTAAGACCAGGCATCAGTGTCTTTATTTATTAAAAAAATTTAAAAATATATTTTTATTGATTTCAGAGAGGAAGGGAGAGGGAGATAGACATAGAAACATAAATGATGAAAGAGAATCACTAATTGGTTGCCTCCTGCACACCCCCTACTGGAGATTGAGTCCACAACCTGGACATGTGCCCTGACTGGGAATCAAACCTTAACTTCCTGGTTGATACATTGAGAGACTCTGGGTAGAATTAATTTTTATTTAAAAAAAAATTTGTCTTTATTGTTGAAAGTATTACAGATGCCCCCCCCCCCTTTCTTTCCCCCATTGACCCTCTCCACCCTACACCTGCCTTTCCCAAACCTTCACCACACTATTGTCTGTGTCCATGGGCTATGCATATATGTTTCCAGTTAATCTCTCTCCACCCCACTCCTCCCCAATCTGCCCTCTGAGATTTGTTAGTCTGTTTTATGATCAAATGACTCTGGATCTGTTTTGTTCATCATTTCATTTTGCTCATTAGATTCCATATATGTGTGTGATCATGTGATGTTTATCTTTCTCTGACTGGCTTATTTCACTTAGCACGATACTCTCTAGGTTCCTCCATGCTGTCTCAAAGGGTAAGAGATTTTTTTTTTTTTTTTTTTTTTTTTTTTTTTTTTTAGCAGTAAACTTTCCTGGTAATTTTAATGTGCAGCTGAGTTTGAAAACCAGTACATTACCCTGTACTTTCTGGAACACTGATGTCTGTCAAATTCACCTCCCTCTGCATTCACCTTTTAAAGTGACTTTTACTGTAGTTTAAAGGGGAAGATGACCCTCTTGGGAACCACTTTCTTGCAACATAGATGTCAACCAAAAAAAATGGAGGAACAAGATCAGTCACTGAGTGATTGAGTGGCCATAATAATCTGGCAACTCATTGTATATCCTATATAATAAAAGGCTAATATGCAAATTGTCCCCTCGACCAGGAGTTCGACCAACAGACAGACCGACCAATTGCCTATGTCCTCTCCCCCAGCCAGGCTGGCCAGTCCCCACCCAGGCACCCATCCATGCACAAATTCATGCACTGGGCCTCTAATATCTATACATATATACTGAGTGGACAAATTATTATGCTTTCAGAGATCATAATAATCTGGCCACTCAGTGTAATTTTCTCCCAAGCTTCTAATTGAAATTTCTATATATGTAATGATCAAAAGATAAAAGTTGTCCAAAAGGTATATAGTGTTATTTGTAGGAAGTATAAAAATGTTTGTACCTAACTCATAGGTTTTCACACACCATATAGATATTACATTCAAATCTCATGGATATCACCATCTTCTTATTCTTTCTAAAGGAATGACAAATGTGGCTCTGAGTATTGGACTGGCCGTTTCTTTATTAATAGCTGGTGATAGCATTAGAATGGTTTGAAAAGGAGCTGAAGTAACACTTGTCCTAGAAAAGTACCCTACATATATAAGGCCAGAGAAACCTCGGTTGTGAAATAACTTTTACATTTCTCCACTTGGCTCTGAGGCTAAATCGGATAATGACAATTATTCTGCTGTGACAATGAAATGACTCTGCTCCCAAGCATGCACTGTGGCGGGGCAATGGTGACAAAATGTAAACTGGTGGCACACTGCAGTTCTTCAGTTTTTAAAAGAGCATTTCCTTGCGAAACTGGGCTACAAATAAAAAATAAATAAAAGAGAAATATTCCCATAGTACAAGTATATTCCAAGACTGGTAGAATATTGAAAAAATATAACAATGGAATTAGAAAGGATGATTCTTACATCAGTTCTTAAGACCTTATGATTACATTCTTATATTATCATATCCTGAAATCATTGCCTCTGTTTGTTGTATGAAAGAATGGGAATATACTTCTGAAATTCACATAAAGCCTGGAGAGTTTGCTTCTTAATTTTACCAGCACACAATGAGCAGAACAAAATAATTTTTTGTTATTATTGAATTAGTTTCCATTGCTATTCTGCAGTGAAATATAATTATGATTGTTTAGGTGACTAATTATATGGGAGCCATTGAACAAATAAACAACTTTTCCTAGAATGCCATTTTCATTCGATAAATGCTCAGCTCAAGACCTTGGTTTCCTGTTAATATTGCATGAAGTCTAAGTCCTTCACTCTCATTTCTAAGGTGCTAGCTACATCTACCTATCTTGTTTCTTCCTGTTTCCCAGCATGCATTCCCTTGCAGTTAGATTGTTTTCTCCTGTCACCCCACCTACTTCCTCATGCAAATCTCCAGACGTGTGTCTCTGTTCTTGCTGCTCTCCCCATCGGATTACCTCCTCTCTCTTGTCAACTCAGAAAAGCACAGATTTTCAAGGGACCACTAGTTCATATCACTTCCACCTTCTCAGGACCATACTGATCTTGCCATTCTCTAAGCTATTCCCCATAAGTAATGAAGAACTACTGTATAAGAGATCTGATTTTTCCATATCCTAACACTTATTATCTGACTTGTTGATTCTCGTTGCCCTAGTGCAGTGATCGGCAAACTCATTAGTCAACAGAGCCAAATATCAACAGTACAACGATTGAAATTTCTTTTGAGAGCCAAGTTTTTTAAACTTAAACTTCTTCTAATGCAACTTCTTCAAAATAGACTCACCCAGGCCGTGATATTTTGTGGAAGAGCCACACTCAAGGGGCCAAAGAGCCGCATGTGGCTCACGAGCCACAGTTTGCTGCTGATCATGGCCCTAGTGAATGGGAAGTTTCTCATTTTGATTAGCAATCTGGTAGCTAATGATATTGAGCATATCTTTTTTGTGTGCTTATTGGCCACATGCTTAGCTTATTTGCAGAAATGTCTATTCAGGTCATTTGCCAATTTTTTGATTTAGTTATTTGTCTTTTTATTATTGTATTATAAAAATTGCAAAAAATCTTTAACATATTCCAGATACAAGTCCCTAAGCGGGTATATGATTTGCCAAATATTTTCTCCCATTAAATATTATTAAGAGTTTTAATGATATTAAAACCTGTGCCTACTCCTGGAGATTTAGATTTATTTGACCTGCTGGCTACTTCCACTAATATTTTTCTCAGTGTGCCAGGTAGAGAACTAGTACTACATCAAGATACATGCCACCTCAGAGCCCCAGAACTGACCTCTTTTAGCTCCAGAGCAAGGGCCAGCCCATTGGTAACAACTATTTCCAGACCCAAAGTCATTTCATTTAGGGATTTTCTTGTCCTTTGCTGCCCTGGAGTTTAATCAGGGTTTCTCAAGTTCTACCAATTGGTTGATCTAACTTTGAACCTGAGAAGAGGAGGTTAGGAGAATTTCATGCCCTTTTCTCCCTCTGACTCTTTTATGCAAAATATTTAGTGATACCCCCACCCTAACCCTCATCCAGTTTTCTGCATCTCAAGCAGTTTGGGGAGAAACATAATTTGCCAAATCTGAGAGAGAAAGACAAAAGTAGAGGGTCCTCTAACACTCTTCCTCAGAGAGTAAAATGCCTTGCAGCGTATTTTTATAAACTTACAAAAACAAACCTATTGACATTTATCATATTAAAGAATGTGCCCCCTGATGACTTGCTGTTATTACCTATGGATAGACATCGAGTTGCAAATTTTTAATTGGCAGTTTCCCTTACCTATGGCATTGCTAGACAGACAGGTAATAAATAGAGACAGATAGATAGAGCAAGCTCATGTCCATCTTCTTGCCCAGGCCCTTCGACTTCATCTCTCCTATGCCTTCGCTGGTCTACACCAACTCCAGTCACTTGGATGATAATGTTGCTGTGCTGTGGTCAACAACAGTTCTGACGTGTGCAAACCTGTCTTCTTATGACGATGCCCCAGGGCCATTATTATATCCATGGAGGGCACCCCCAGAGCTAGGGTGTGAGGGTGGGCATGGGCCAGAAGGACTCCTATGTGGGCAATGAGGCCCAGAGTAAGTACTCCACTGAGCATGGCACCATCACCAACTGGAACAACATGAAGAGGTTTGGCATCACACTTTTTACAATGAGCTGTGTGTGGCCCTTGAGAAGCACCCCAGCCTGCTCACCGAGGCCCCCTGAATTCCATGGCCAACCATGAGAAGGTTGCCCACGTTCCTTTCCCAGGCTTACAAAGGTTTCAGCATTCTGGAGAAAGGGGCTGCACATAGATGATTAAAGAGTCCAGAGATGAAAGATAATTTTGAAAGGCATCGGGAGACAGAGGAGCTTCAGCTAAAGGGAGTTGAAGACTCTACCTTGTCTAAGGACCCTGTGGTATTTATTAAACACAATTTGTCCCAAGGCAAGGTGGAAATATACTCTTCAAAGGGTAAGGTTTCAGAGGATATATAGAAACATTGACAGTTTGGAGAATAGCCTACAGCTGTTCAGGTGTTTGGCCAACAGGAGGCAATAAAATGCCCTGAGATTTCTGGCAGTTAACAATTATTCTATTCAGGTTTGGGGGAAGTGCCGTTTAGCTGTTTCCAACAGGTAAACTACATGGGTGGCTCACCCTTGTTGAGCCGCCCAAGCCCCATCAACCTTTTGATGGAACTCTTGTAATTATTACATGCTGGATTGGTTCAATATAGAAGATAATCCAGATCATGTTTGAGACCTTTAACACCCAGGCCATCCAGGCTGTACTGTTCCTGTATACCTCTGGCCATACCACTGGCATTGTGATGGTCTCCAGTGAAGGTGACAGCAATCTGTTGGAGTGAGCATACCCAAAGTTCTACAATGTGGCCAAGGACTTTGATTGTACATTTTTCTTTTTAAATGGCCATTCCAAATATCATGAATTGCATTGATAAAGAAGTCCATTACCTGCCCCAAAGCTACACCCTTCTCCCTAAGAAAGGCCAGTCCTTGCCCAAATTCATATCAAGTAGGGTATTAGCATTCCTTTTATGTAAATTATATAATATAAAATTTTAATCTTCTCTTAATATTTGCTCTTTTTGTTTTGTTTTATTTTGAGTTGTCAGCCATCATGAACCCCGATTTTGTCCCCAACTTGAGGTGTGTGAGGGTTTTTGGTAGCCCTGGGCATGGGTTGAGGTGTGTAAGCAGCCAGGGCTTACCTGTACACTGACTTGAAACTAGTACAATAAGGTGTACACCTTAAATAAAAAAATAGGTAGATAGAGTTCTGTATATTTCTACACAGGTTCATGGTTTCCTCCACCACATTCGGTTTTTCAAGGGAATCCT